ATTTTTTTCTATTTTCATTAAAACTCATTAATTTCCTTTATTGCATATCATACAAAAATTTTTATTATTTATTACGTAATAAATAAATAAATAAAATTTCGTAACGTGATGCCGAATTATTATTATTATTATTTCATTGAAATTCGATGATACGTTAAATCAAATTTCAAACCAACCAACCAACAAACAAACAAACAAATATTTGTTGTTGCGTAAATAAATATTTTTAATAATTTATTTATTATTTTGAATAATAAAAAAAAAACTATTTGATATTAATCGCGCACGTGTCTAATTTATTACCTTTATTATCATCATTATTATTAACGTAACAACAAACAACAAATTAAGAAATGATTAGAAAAAAAAAATTTTTTTAAATGAAGGTTGTCGTTGTTGTTGTTGTTTTTTTTGTAATTAACTAAATTATCGTTGTATTAGCATATAAAACTCTTATTATTTTTTATATCGTATCGAAATATATCGTCGATAAATCGATACCGTCGATTCGATTTTATATATATTTTTTTTATCATTTGAATTAGAGAGAGAGAGAAAGAAAGGAAGGGTAACTTATTTACGGTAAATTTTTTTTTTTTTGCTTTTTCCCGCATGGAATTTGACTTTAAAAAGTAAAATAAAATAAAGTTAAGTTGAAAGAAAAAAAAAAAACAGGTGCGGAAAAAGTTAAATTCAAAAAGTAAAATTAAATTTTTTATTCATGAATGCAAAAAAAAAAAAAAAAAAAAAAAAACAATAGTTTATTTTGCACACATAAGAGACGATACATTTCTTACATTCAACATGAAAACCGCCGTTACACAGGTCCATGAATATAAACTGCTTTTTATTTTTTTTTATTTTATTTCTTTCGTCACTTATCCCACCGCCTCCGCCTCCGACGACGCCACTGCCATTACCTTTGCCAAAATCCCCATAATAACAATAAAAACAACAACAGCAACAGCACATTGCACATTTAAAATCTTTTTATTTATTTTCAAATAATTTCCCCCCCCCCTTCTCCATTTTTCCTACTTATTTCAATTACTTAGAGAAGAAAAATCTTTGGAAAAACAAACGTTTCAAAAGGTGTTTGTTTCCTTCCTTTCAGAGAGTGAAAAAAATCGATAATAATATTCATTAATGCGTTTGCATTTTTTCATCCCCTAATTTTTTTTT